AGAGATGGAAGAGCCCCTGGGGAGGTGTGCAGGGCTGGCGGATGTTGGAGCAGTTGCCTTTGGGAGAGCCCCCTGCTCCGTCCCTGCCCGCCTCTAGCACAGGTGTGTCGGGCTTCCGCTCCTTGGGGGTGGGGGGAGGGGCGGAAGGTGAAAGGATGACATCAGCCTCCTCTGCACCTGGAGCCGGCCTCTCTGAAGCAAACTGTTTTCTGGGGCATCTCCAGAGCTGGCCTGCACAGAGGGTTGTCCGGAGAGTGCGCCTCTCCCTCTCCTGCCTTCTCCACAGCAGCCTGCTGGCCAGGGAGGGAGGGCCAGAAGAGAATGTTGCTGAGTCCTGGGGATTCCTCAGGACCAGAAAAGGAGAGGTTCTCCAGAAGGTTCCAGGTGAGTGCCCCTGTAGGACCATCTTACTTTTCTTTTTTTTTTTTTTTTTTTTTTTTAAGTAGGCTCCACACTGGGCGTGGAGCCCAACGTGGGGCTTGAACTCATGACCCTGAGATCAAGACCTGAGCTGAGATCAAGAATCGGCCACTTAACCAACTGAGCCACCCAGGCGCCCCTGAGACCATCTTTTCTGAAGTTGGGGGTGGGGGGCAGGGTCCTTTTGCCTCAGTGACCGGGAAGCCTGAGGAGAGAACATGGGGGCTAATTATATGGGTTTTGTCATTTTTTTCTGTTGGAGGCAGGGGTATGGGTTAGGTTGGGGGCATGGTGCTGAGCCTACTGAGGAAGAGAAGGATGTGGGACTTGACCCCAGTCAGCTGTGCTGGGAAGCCAAGGGGCCTGCTGCAGCCTGCCTCTCTGCCTGGGGACATTCAGGGAAGGTCCTCAGAAGGGCGGGCCGGTAACCTGGGGAGGTGTGGGCAGAGGAAGGGTGTGGATTGTGTTTAAATATAGAGAGAGTTAAAAAAGAAACATTCCTCTCCTGTCATAACCCCCCTCCCCCGCCCCCGCCCCTGCCAGACAGATTTGTGTCTGAGCCACTTCTTGCGTCCATCAAAAAGAAAGGCTTGGGGGACCTTCACAGGTGTGGGACTGGAGATGCCGAGTTTTCTAGAAGACTGATTCACTGCTTGATGATTGGACTGACTCATGTTGAGAGATGGAAGAGGTCATGGCGGGGGGAGACTTCGGGAAAACTGGAAACTGGGTGCGGTAGGAGGAGGTGGGCGTGTGCACCTGGCTTGGGAGCTAGGCCGCTCTCTGCCTGTCTCCTTTAGGCCCCCACTTCCTCAGCCAGACTGTCTTCCGGAGGAGTTTTGAAGACCCTGAGTTCTAATCTTGGCTTTGAGGAGAACCTTGCAATTTGGGGGATGCTAGTGGAGAGGAAGGAAAGGTTGCCTCTGGCCCAGGACATGTGGGCAGGTACTAGTGCTTTTCTCTTTGGGAGTCTGAAGTACACACACAGCAATGGCTGGGCGCAGGCTTTCAGGACCAGAGTGCGCTAAAATTGAGTGCGGCGGTCCCACCAACAGCCCCCGGGGACTCTGCCTTGTTGCTCTCACTGCCTCACGTGCTTGCCATCCTCCCTTTTTGGGTCTTTGCATTCTTTTCCAGCAAGCCTGTCCTAGAGAGCCACGTGGTCCTGGGTCTTCTGGTCCCTGCAGATCTTGTCTCATGCAAGCAGTTATAGTCAGATCTTGGTGACCTCGTGCTTTTTCCCTTTTCCATGACCTGCGACCCTTTGACCTGGAATCTGTATTTTACCATGTTCCAACAGGAGGGTAAATGGCCAGAGGTCACAGAGTAGCAGGTCTAGAAATAGCTGTAAGGAATCTTCACTTTCATTCCTTTACCCCCACGGCCTTTGTAGGGTAAATGAAGTATCATGTTAAAAGCTATGATCTTTCAAGACGTAGTAAGTTCCCCACAGCTTAGGCTGAGGCGGAGCCATAGCATCCAGGCCTGTGACTAATCGTTTGCCTGTGGCCCCGGCTTGTATGAAATCCATTAGGGAGACCACAGGCAGGGGCAGGGCGGCAGGAACACTGAGCCTGTGTGCCCGAGTACACGTCCAGGCTCCACCACATGCTGCTACTGTGGCTTCAGGTTTCTGTGCCTGTAAAATGGGGGTAGCAGTGGGACCAAGTTCATAGAGCTGTTAGGAGATGAAAGCGGCGTGCTGTGCCATAGCACTTAGAACGCTTCAGCGCTCGGCTGGTATGCCTCGTCTCAGCCCGGGGGCCTGCTGGGCATGGCACTGCTTGGACAATGTGAGCTTGCTTTGCAGGGAGACGGCTGCGTTCCACCAGAGGAGAGTTCTCCAGGGAGAAAAGATGCTTTCCTTTTGTTTCTGGGTTCATAGGGCAATGGGGTCCCCAAAGAGTGACCCTCAGAAGGCCCCCCTGAGAGTGGGGGGGGTGAAGGGGGGCTGTGGCTAATCTTTTACTTTAAAACTGACCTGGCCAGCTGTGAAATCCATCTGGGACTTGGGCCTTTGCCATTTAGCATCCCCATGGGGGCTGACTGACCCCAGGTTTGATCTGGGAAAGGTCTTAGGTCGTAAGTTTCTGCCCCATTGTTCCAGCTGCGACTGACAGTGGGGGTGGGGGGGCCCTGACTGCAGCAGGGTTTGAAGGACACTGGAGTCCCATAGGGCTGGGGGTTAAGGACTGGGGTGGAGTTTGGATCTTTGTCTTTGTGCGGAAATGACACAGTGTTACCCTGTGGGCTGGTTCTGTAGAAAGGCCCAGCTGGTTGATTGAATTGAATTGAATTAATTTATTTTTTTACTTATTTTAAGATTTTATTTATTTATTTGACACAGAGAGCACAAGCAGGGGAAGCAGCAGAGGCAGAGGGAGAAGCAGGGTCCCTGCTAAGCAGGGAGCCCACCACGGGACTTGATCCCAGGACCCTGGGATCATGACCTGAGCCAAAGGCAGATGCCCAACCGACTGAGCCACCCAGGCACCCCATCAGCTGGTTAATTTTAAAGGCTCTTTTGAGGAGGGAGGAAAAAGTAACAGTGCTGCATTTCCCAAGGGGCTCTCCTCTGAGATGCTCAGAGTTTCACCAAGATGAGCCTGTTAATTCTCCTTTGTTGCACCCGGAAGGGAGGGAGAAGGCAGGCATGGCTTTAGCGCTGCCACTGTGTCCTTATCTGCAAAATGAGAGGCTCCTGTAGATCAGTAGGGAGGTGACACCCCTCCCTCTGCCCAAGCTGAGACCTGCAGTGGCAGGGTGCTGAGCTGGAGAGGGTCCTTGCTGGGCTCTCGACTGTTAGCTCAGTAGACGCACCAGTTTGTTCACCATCATCCATTTGCCAGATCACCCTTAAGGCCCCTGAGCCTGGGTCGCTTACAGTCTAGGGCAGGGGATCTCAAACTAGTCACAGTCACACAGGGAGTGGTAGGGGTAATACTGGGGTGCTGTAAGAGTATGCAGAAGGGGGCATCCAGGTTTGTTTTGGGGGTAGGTTTCTAGAAGGGGGCTGGCTCCTTATCTGAAACCTGAGGATTGGGTATAAGTGACGGGTTGGGGGGTGGTATGGCTTGGGATAGACAGGGTTGGGAGTGGGGTGCGCGGGGACTTGGGAGTAATGTCCAGGCAGAGAGAACATTTGCAAAAGCCAGAGCCCAGAGCCCAGGGCCCAGGGGTGCTGGCACAGCAGGGGCACAGAAAAGCAGAGGGAAATTCAGGGTTACTGGAGTGATGGCACCTAGATCCTTCTTGTAGCTCTAGCCTGTGGTCTAGTAATTTCCGAGCCCTAGAGCTAGGGGTGGAAGGCTTTGGGGCAGTGAAAGTGAGGGTGATGCTCTGGAACTTTGTTCCTTGTGCAAACAGCAATGAAATACACATTCTGGAAAGTGGTGTTGGTGAGCTGTGGTCTGCTGGGGTTGGGGTAAAGTGTCCCTGTCCTTCCCAAGAGGCCTTAGCCCCTCCCAGACTTACTGCTCCAGTTTCCAGGTGGGTCTACCTGTGAACAGAACCACCTGCTCAGGGACTAAAGTCCACCTGAGGCTGCGTTTGCCTTACCTGGGAGCAGTTTCCTGTCTGCTGGGCTGCCTGACCTTGCTGTGCTAAAGGGAGTTTAGAGAGACTCATCGGTGGCTCAGCCCTGGGACATTTCCTGTGCTCTGGGAGCTGGGGTGAGTCAGGGCCTGTACCAGGTGCTGGGGGTTGGGGAGCCTTTGTAGTCTCTCCTCTGCCTCCCCTGTCAGTATCTAGAAGGCTTCACGTTCATGGTGCAATGGCTGGTGCCCCCAGAGATGTCCTAATCCTGAGGAGAATCTTAACCCCTGGCATGTATGTGTGTTATCTTAGATCATAAGAGCAAGATATTCAGCTGTCCTTGCTGGTGACCCCAGCACAGGCCCCAACAAGTGGGCACTTGGGAAGTGCTTTTTGACAATTGTTATTATTATCACTGTTTTGACGGCTTATGGAAACCTTGCCCCGTGGCAGACACCATACTCAGACCTGTTGCTGCAGCAGGTCGCTGCATCCTCAAGGACACAGCGCTGGGGTAGGTTCTGAGAGGCTGGGTGCTTTGCCGGAGCCACGGGGCTGGGCTTGGGGTTCCATCTGAAGGCAGCCCGACTGCTGCTCTGGCGAAGATGTCCTCTCTGCTCTCCTGGGGCTCGGTTTTCTGAGCCCTTTATTGTCCTTGGATGCAGTCACCCTTTCCTCCTGGGAATGCTGGAGCTGTTGGGAGTCAGGAAGGGATGTTACTTGGGCATCCTTGTGCATACTTGTGGAGTCTGAGGGAAGGGACCTTCTCGACATTCAGAGTTGTGTTTAAAACTGTGGTGAAATACACAAACGTACAATTTCCATTTTAACCCTTTTTGAGCGTATAGTGTTTCAGTGGCATTACGTACATTCACATTGTTCCTCCTCTGTCACCACCATCCATCCCCAGGACTTCTCTTCTCTTGCAGAATGGGAACTCGGTACCCATTATATACTAACTCCCCATTCTCTCCTCCCCCAGCAGCCTTTTACTTTCTGTTTCCGTGAGGATTCTGAGATTTAATTCTTTGTCCGCCCCCCCCCAGAACCTCCCTGGAGTGCCCTCGCCAGGCAGCGATGCCAGGATGCCCGTCTCTGCCTCCCTCCGCCAGGATGGCGGCCAGGAGCGGCCGGTGAGCCTGACCTCAACCACGTCCTCGTCGGGTTCCTCCCGTGACAGCCGCGGTGCCATGGAGGAGCCCAGTGGCTCCGAGGCTTCTGCCAAGAACGGGGCGGGCTCCCCAGGTAGTAGGAGGCGTCCCCCCAACGGCAGCAGCAGCTCCAGCGGCTGGCTGAGCGTGAGGGGGCCGCTGTCCCCGTTCGGCGGCCGGGCCCCGGCAGCCCCGGCGCACAAGCTCAGCTACCTGGGCCGAGTGGTGCGGGAGATCGTGGAGACGGAGCGGATGTACGTGCAGGACCTGCGCAGCATCGTGGAGGTGAGGCCCGCTGCCCGAGCGGCTGCCGTGCTGAGGCCGCGGTGGGGCTGGCCTCCAGCTCCGGGTGGCCCAGCTCACTTGTAAACCCACTGCCACCGCTGGAGGGAAAGTTCTCCCTGATAGCTTGTGTCAGAAGCAGACTGCTTCCCATGGAGCAGTGGGGAGGCCTCATGTCTCCTGCTCTTGGGGGAGCCTCAGGCTGCTCGTGCTGCCTCATTTTGGGCCAGCAGAACCTCCTGCAGACCCTCGGGGCGTGGGCATGGTTGGTGGGGATGGGCAGGGACCGCTGTGCTCACAGACACGGAACACAGTGGGGAAACTGGCCTAGATGTTGCCCGACTGTGCCCAGATCCCTGCTCTGTTGTTTCCTGGCTATGGCGACTCGGGCTTCTGCATAAGCCCCTGAGCCTCAGGTTCTTCCTCTGTGAGATGAAGAGCCCCCCCTTCCCCCCCCCGCCTCCGCAGGACCAGTGCGACGTGCTTCACCCCGCGGGGCCCCTGGGCAGGTGGCTGGGTGGCTGCCACTGAGGAGACCCTCTGTTCGTGGTGGAGAGAGACATATTTGTTTCTTGGAGCCGCTGTAACAAATCACCACAAGCTGGGGGCTAAAATGCAGAAGTTTCTTCTATGTTGGGGTAGGAAGCCAGAAGTCAGAAATCAAGATATTGGCAGGATTGGGTCCTTCTGGAAGGTCTGGGGGAGAATGTGTTCCATGCCTCCCTCCCGGCTTCTGCCAGGTGGTTGCTGCTTGGATTTCCTTGACCTGTAGATGTTCTGTCCTGGCCTCTGCCTCCATGTTCCCATTGCCACCTTCTGTGTGTCACTCTGTGTCCTTTCCTCTTATAAGGACACCCGTCATGGGATTTAGGGCCCACCCTAAAGCCAGTATGCTGTTGTCCTGAGATCCTTGACTGATTACATCTGCAAAGACCCTATTTCCAAATTAGGTCACCTTCCGAGGTTCTGAATGGATGTTGATTTTTGACCGGGGG